GTGTTTGATTAGGGTTGGAGCTAAACTCTGCAGGACACCGGCCCTCCAGGACCAAGTTTGGGCACCCCTGCTTTACAGAAGTGCAAGCAAAATTTGAAGACTTGTCAAAATACATAGAGACAGACAACCCGATAAACCAATGCTGAATACTGGTAGTGTTTTTACAAGATGGAGAAATTTGATAGAATGTTTGGGTTTCAATTGATGCAACGAACTTGCAGAGTTTCTTCTCGACAGGTAACGTTAAGCTAAACTTCAAGTTAAAAGTATTCCTAATTTGTTGGAGCTTTTATTGACAGTAGTCTACTTTTACCGGTTGACACGTCTTCACTTTAGACCCGTAAAGAGCTGTGTTTGTGATGTTTGAGTTGGAGGGGAAGCTTGACGCGCGAAAGGGGTGTTTTTGCAAAGGTTGTTTGAAAACATCAAAGACTATAGAATACTTTGGAAAACATGCTTTATATTTGTAGTTCCACTAGATGACACTAGTAGTTGGAGAAACTGCCTACCCAAGCTTTAAGTATACTTATGGAATGGAAAAATCACTAAAATATGTATTACAATTTTCTCATGATTTCAGTGGTTATTAATAAGCCTCATATGCATTTACATATATCACTGAGGAGGTTAACCTGGGAAAAGTAGAGATTTATGGATATAATTATATACAGTATAAGTTTAAAACCAGAAAATTCTTCTGTTTACCATGAGCCCTTAGATGCTTTTCCACCTTAACATCCAGTGCACAGAATAGACCTGCCTAAAAATGAGGGAAAAATGTAGGGTTTTTTTTGTGTGTGTGTGTGTTTGTTTAACAAATATTTCCAAAGTACAGTCAGTTTTGTTTTATGGAAGCCTGAACTTGACCCTTATGATACTGCTAAAGATTTTAACATACTGTATGTGTAAAATATACTGTACAGTCATAAAAATGTTGTGAGATTTATCAAATGAAAGACGCAGACGTTTTTACTGAATACAATGTGTACATCTATTACTTATTTTAATACGTGTAAGTGGGTTAAGCTTATACTGAAATGTAATGTTAGATGAATATCAATAAAATACCACAATCATTTATAACCTGTTCTTGTTAATATACAAAACTCTTACCATCAGCACTCCATTAGAGAAGTACGGTTCAGGCTTCTCAGAGCTTGAAAAAGAAGAGATCAAGTGACAGATTAGTTCAGTCTGATGTACAGTAATAGTGATGATTTTTTTATAAGGAGGAAGAGGACTATCACTAACTAATGTGCATTACATGGTTAATAATGCCACCATTATTGTTTTCGATTAATAACATTCTTACTCACCTCACGGTCATCTCAAACTCCACCCACAGCTCACTCTTTTTCAGGAAAATAAGTTCATCACAATCAGACAGATGGATAGGACTATATCAGTCAATATTTGTTATGCTTGACTTTCATACACTGATTTAAAGTAATGGGCACCAAAGGTTTTCACTTTAAAGACTATGTCAAATTTAATAATTTAATAAATGATATTTTCATCTACCTTATCATCTGTAATGAAGCATTTTGTTTGCTTTTGTCCAGGTGTGAGGTTACTGATGTCGAATAGGATGGTGGAGCAGTAGTCATCTTTCGTTAACTTGTCAGCATCAAATATGTGGAATTCCAGAATGTTCTGAGAAGACAAGAACATAGTGGTGAGTTTATTTTAGATCAAAAGCTCTCCCTCTATTGCTCTACACTTTTTCCTACGCCCTGTGATGCTTTGCATGAATTATGGTCATAACTTCTGTTAAAGTCTTAACAATCAGCAAATGGTTCACCCTACAAATGCAGTAAGCAATTTCAAAAACTGGCTACAATGAAGTGGCCTTATTCTATTCATTCATCGAACATTAAAAGGAAACTTTAAGTCATGCTTAGCAAACCCATCATTTCACATGTATTGCAACTAGCACTTTTACTCAAGTTCATACACTTAATTACTAAATCTTATAAAAAGTAAATTTGTATTACTTTAGAAAAGCAAAAAACAAATAAAATTAATGGATGAGAATTCTGACAAATAATATACGAGGGACAATTCTGACAGTATGCAACAAAAGGAAAAACCTCTTTGTCATTTTGTGCTTACTTATTATTATAAATTAATAATTATTATTAACTTATTTACCAGGGCAATGGAACAAATTTAGCCATTGGCTGACAAGTTAGCACGTGTTTTGATTAATATTTTGGGGATTAAATTATTGTGATTATAGTTAGATTAAATAATTATACAAATTATTCATATAGAATTGCTTCACTGTTATACCAGCATTTGAATGTTAGTGACATCACCAACATATCATTCATCATTTGTTTTTCAAGAGCAAGGGTGGAGAATCACTTCATGTTGTCAGCTGAGATTGGAAGGGCAAGACCCAGTTGCAAGAAAACTTTTCAGTCAAGAAAACCCTCAGTAATAAGTGTCAGAGTTTTCTTGCAAGTTGCAACCATCTGAACAGATTTGCTCACCTTGACACCGCTGTGCACTCTGAAACGAAAGGTTTCATTCCATTTTGGTGCATCACTGTTTTTCACAGTTTTGGTGCGATGGCAGCAGGCACAGGCCGTGGGTAACTTTAAGACAACGTAGCAGTCACATTTAGACACTGGAGAAAGAGCAAAATCAGAGCACACTCAGCACTTGTTATGTGGAGTATGTAGTTTTCAGCAAATCAAAAGCATTTTTATCAATATTTCACCACAAGTCACAATGTTTTTGAGGGCTGATGGACTCACAAAGGTCATACGTCCGACTGAATTTTCCCTGCAGCACTCTGACGTTGAGGTTCCAGTACGGCAT